TACATACCACCCACCCGTGCACTGTGCCACGGAGCCTGGAAGTTCTCCACGTGTCACACAGCCACGGGGCACTTCCTACATACCACCCACCCGTGTACTGTGCCACGGAGCCTGGAAGTTCTCCACGTGTCACATAGCCACGGGGCACTTCCTACATACCACCCACCCGTGCACTGTGCCACGGAGCCTGGATGTTCTCCACGTGTCACACAGCCACGGGGCACTTCCTACATACCACCCACCCGTGTACTGTGTCACGGAGCCTGGATGTCCTCCACGTGTCACACTGCCATGGGGCACTTCCTATATACCACCCACCATGCACTGTGTCACTTCCCACACCTGTTCCTTTGCAGATGTGGCCCCGGTCCCCACCTTCCCCCACGTGTCCCTGATCCCTGCTCTCAGAAGCCTAGCTTGTAGAAGCTGCATGTAGACATGGGGTGAGAAGTATTCCTCATGTTCTCAGGGAGGGATCCCACCGGAGATGCTCACCATCTTCCTGCCAAATCACACGCCAGCTCCTGGGCCCTGGATTTAAGGGCCCAGGCCTGCAGCGTGGTGAGCCAGAGGACAGGCACGGAGGGGCCATGACAAGCTGCTCTAGTTGGCTCAGCAGCTGGCGCTAAGAGACCCCACTTACTAGGGCCTTGGGGTGACGTGGGGGAGTACAGAGACCCAGAACCAGCCCTGAGGCGAGACAGGACCACCTTGATAGGGGGCTATGTGCACACAGAGGGCGTGGGAGCAAGCAGGCTAGGGGCTGCCCCCCACAGTGCACCCCTGCTCCAAACAGGGAACCCGTGGCCAGAAGCCAGCTCATGTGGACAGAGCCCGGCACCCACCCTCTGGGCCCAGCCCCTGCACAGACACCAGCACAAGCTCTGGTTTCTGATCTGAAAGAACACAGAGCGGCTTTAACGTTACCCCTGGGCCACGGAGACAGGGGCTGCCTTTGTCTCCTTCATCAAAAGGTTAACCAAGCTCTAAATAAAGCCACGCACGAGACTGCTCTCAGCCACGCCACGGCGGGTGACAGGCCACAGCGCTGCTGACACCCAGCTTCCAAAACTCACCTTGACGTCATCTGGGGGCTTCACTGGGATGCTCCTCCTCTGGAGAGCAAAGAGATGAGAGACAGTTAGCACAGAAGAGCTGTGCATTCAGCAAACGCAGAGGGAGTGACCGAGGGAACCGACGGCAGAGACACTGCACGTGGAGGGAGTCGGGGAGAGGGCCGGGAACTGTAAACACACAGCAAACACAAAGAGCTTTTTCTCCTTGTTTTTAAGTTTCTTCAAAAGGCAAATGCCTGTTTACGGCAAAAGAAACCAAAGCCAATGAGGGAAGGACAGTTGGGACTGCCTAAAACGGCACACTGTTCCCCGGCCTGCATGCTGACCAGGAGATGCGGACAGCAGGCCAGGTGTGCGGCCTAGTGCGGGAGGCCCACCTGCTTCAGCCGGACGAGCATCCTGGAGTGGTCGCCCCCCGTGATCTGGTCCAGGAGATCATCCACCAACTTCTGACTGTAGCTTCCTGCATCCTTCACGAACTCCTGCAGGCTGGAAGGGGCCGTGTGAGAGAACGCGCTCATCTCTGGCCCCGTCCAGATGCGGCCGTTGCCAAAGCCTATCTGGGACCTCCCGGACGCATCTCCAGAAGAGCCCTCATGGGAGCTGAGCCTCCCCAGTGGGGTCGGAGGGGTCCACTGTCCCTGTTAGATTCTCAAGCAGCCCAAGACCCAAAAAGACTTTCAGAACACAGCACCAGTTGTTTCTTTAAAGCAGAGGGAAGAACCGTGCACAGCACACGCACTCGTGATGCTAACTTCTGTTTAAGGTCACAGGACGATAGCACGTTTCACCTACTTGCCCTGGACTTGCAACCCCAAGCCAGGAAGGACGCAGTGGTGCGGTGAGGGTGGTGCAGATGGGAATGGGGCAGATCCGCCCATGGCTGCACCGAGCTTACCTCAGTGCGCACTGCACACCGGTCTCATCCCCGTAGGCAGAATACAGCAGCTCCATCTCGTCCGACTTCAGATCACCAAACACCGAGTTATTCTGCATCGAAAGAGCAGTACTCGCGCTCGAGAGAAACGTGACTGAGAGAGAGGAAACACAGGACAAGGGTCAGCCGCACACGGAGGCCACACCCACAGGGCAACTCGTGCTGCTCGGCTCCCCCCCCCAGGAGTGGGTGGGCAATGAAAGCTGTGTGCGGAAACCCTACAGCCAACTCCTAACTGCCCATCTGCCTCCTCGGCCAACGGCTACAGAGAAGTCAACCAGGTGCTCCAAGGAGCTGAGCTCTAAAACCAATCAGGCAGTGTGCTCCGGGGGCATCAGCAGATCAGTGCAAGGGGTGCTACCCGGCAAACATGCCTGGGCTCCCCAAGGCCAGGCTCCTGCCACAGGGGCCCTGCTCCACTGGGAGCAGCCCTCCCGTGTGACAAGAAAGGGTCTCCAGGCTGCCAGCTGAGCTCCTGTGCCAGGAGTGTGAGAACACGAGCCCCAGGCAGGGAAGGAGGACGTGTGCAGGTGGGCACAGGCTGAGGAACCAAACCACAGTCACATTATGGGCCCAGGCTGAGGACAGCGGCAGCCTGGTGGAAGAGACCTCCAACACGCAGGCGTGAAAGACTGCCAGTGTCACACAGACACTGATGCAGACATGTCCCCAAGTGACCTGCACCTGCCCTTCAGACACCTGTCATCACATCGTTAGTCTCTGCCATTAATAATGACAACAGGCTGCCCTGGCAGAGGGCCCGTGCACAGTGCAGCTCTCCTCTCGGCCGTACCTCTGTTTCTTCGCTCGTCTTTGAAGCCCAGTGTCGGGAAGCCCGGGAGCAGCTTGCTGGAGAGAGAGCTCAGGTCCACAGGGAGGGTCTCATCCTCTGCAACACAGACATGGCATCAGCGGGCGCCAACAAGGAGCACAGGGGGCACGGTGGCCGGGGAACATGGCAGGTGGGGGGTCTGGCCATCAGTGGGTGCGGCAAGAAGGGGGCATGGTGGCCAGGGAACATGGCAGGTGGGGGGCCTGGCCATCAGTGGGTACGGCAAGCAGGGGGCTTGGTGGCCGGGGAACATGGCAGGTGGGGGGTCTGGCCATCAGTGGATGCGGCAAGCAGGGGGATGGTGGCCGGGGAACATGGCAGGTAGGGGGCCTGGCCATCAGTGGGTGTGGCAAGCAGGGGGCACAGTGACCAGGGAGCCTGGTCATCAGTGGGTACGGCAAGCAGGGGGCACGGTGGCCAGGGAGCATGGCAGGTGGGGGGCCTGGCCATCAGTGGGTGTGGCAAGCAGGGGTGATTGGGGAGCATGGCAGGTGGGAAGCGTGGCAGCCAGCCAGTGGGCATGGCAGGTGAGGAGTGTGGCACTCAGTGGGTGTGAGGTCAGCGGGCGTGGCAGCCCTGGCCACACTGTCTGGAGTCTGGGGAGGCTGCAGTGACCATCCAGAAATAAATGAGTCCAGGGAACCAAGTGCCTTCACTGTGTGAGGATTTCACTTGACAGTCACCCAAGGTCAGCACAGTGACAGGTCCCGAGTGTCTGACCACGCCACTACTGAGGCGTGAGCACTGTTTAATCTGCTGCTCAACCCCGAGACTCACTGCAACAGCAGAGCACCAGGCTGCCCTTGCACTTCGACCTGCCCACATGCTCAGTCCGCCACTCAGACTCGGCCAGCATGTGTCTGTGGTGTCCCAGACACGAAATCTCACACCCCTCACTAAGCTACACAGTGTCAACTTGTTCCTCCCTCACAAACAGCAATGACAATCCAGTCCCTACCAGGATCTCAGACACCCGTCACACCCAGGCCCTCTCAGGATCTCAGACACCCCTGTCACACCCGGTAGGTCACTCACCCCATCACACCCCATCTCTCACAGGATCTCAGACACCCCTGTCACACCCAGGCCCTCTCAGGATCTCAGACACCCCCGTCACACCCAGGCCCTCTCAGGATCTCAGACACCCCTGTCACACCCAGGCCCTCTTAGAATCTCAGACACCCCTGTCACACCCGGTAGGTCACTCACCCCATCACACCCCATCTCTCGCAGGATCACAGACACCCGTCACACCCGGTACCTCTAAGGTCACTCACCCGTCACACCCCATCCCCCTCAGGATCACAGACACCTGTCACCTTGAAGAACACTAAATACAACCACTGGGGGTGGGCTGTGCACACCCATCAGCGAGGGCTCAGCTCAAGTGGGCCCTGCCCACCACCAGCACAGGGCCCTCACCAGCCTGTGTGTGTGTGTGTGTGTGTGTGTTTTCAAACCCCAGGACACACAGCATTTCTGCTGAGAATATACTTCAGGCATCTTCATCATGGACAAAGAGAAGTGTGAGAACATTCTTAAAGGATCATAAAGACTAGGGGACAGCTTGCGTGCTCCCTCCCCAAGGGTACCATCACCAGGGCTCTGCCATGGGCTGATGTGGGCTCCTCAGCCTCCAAGGAAGGGAAGGGAGCTCTAGCCCTTGGGGTGAATGAACAAGCCCTTTCCAATCTTTACCAAGAACCTCACGACACCATCAAGCCAGCCGTCCACAAGCTGGCACCATCCAGCCAGCCGTCCACAAACAGGCACCGTCCAGCCAGCTGTCTGCGAGCTGACACCGTCCAGCCAGCCATCCGCAAGTTGGCAGTGTCCAGCCAGCTGTCTGCAAGCTGGCACCATCAAGCCAGCCATCCACAAGCTGGCACCATCCAGCCAGCCGTCCACAAACTGGCACCGTCCAGCCAGCTGTCTGCAAGCTGGCACTACTGGCGTCTCCCGAGCTTTAAGACCCTTATGCCGAGTGCTACAGGTCACTGCAAGGGCTCGCCGTCAGAGGTCTCCTCAGCCCCTCAGCCCCTGACTATGGGTAGCGGCCAACAGAGCAGTGTGTGGGGAGGAGGCAGCCGGACACCCACCTTCGGCATCGGGCTCGGCGGCATTGACCACGCTGTAGAGCAAGCTCCCGTCCCCATTCTTCTTGAGGTAGCCCATCTGCAAAGGAAGCCACCGGGTCACACGCCCTGCCCCACGGAGGCTGCTGCACACAGCGGGGACGGGGGCAGCCTGGAGTGTGCTGAGTCACCCAGTCACACGACCCATCACTCAGAGTCACACAGGGCAGACACAGCCAGGGAGTCCCGGCGGCAGCGCACAGCCCAGGTCCTCCACGCTAATGCCAATTCCACTGAGAAGCCCTCCTGCAACTCTGCCTGTGTTGGAGCCTGAGCAGACCAGGAGAGGAGGACGGTGAGGTGGGGGCAGAGGGGACAGCGAGTGGGTCTGGGGGGAGTGTGCAAGGGCGGTGGGGACAGCACAATGGGTGTGGGAGCAGTGGGGCATGTGTGTGGAGACAGAGAAGTAGGTGTGGGGACAGCAGGGTGGGTGTGAGGACAGTGGGGACAGCAAAATGGGTGTGGGTACAGTGGGGCGGGTGTGTGGGGACAGAGGACTGGGTATGGGGAGTGGGGCAGGTGTATGAAGACAGTGGGGATAGCAAAACAGGTGTGGGGACAGTGGGGCACGTGTGGGGACAGTGAGGTGGGTGTGTGGGGATAGAGGTATGAGGACAGTGAGGACAACACAATGGGTGTGGAAGCAGTGGGGCACATGTGTGGGGGCAGTGGGCAGATATGTGGGGACTGAGGGGTGGGTGTGTGGGGACAGCGGGGCTGGTGTGTGGCAACAGGGGTGGGTGTGTGGGGACTGGGTGGGTGTATGGAGACAGCGGGTAGGTGTGAGGATAGCGGAGTGGGTTTGTGGGGACAGCAGGGTAGATGTGTGGGGGCAGTGGGCAGGTGTTGGGGATAGCAGGGTGGGTGAGGGGACAGTGGGGCATTTCAAAGACTCTGTATGGAAAAAGGAGAGCGAGGCCATTGATGTTTCCACACCAACTACAAGTTGAGACGACAACATCCTAGCAACGTCGGGTCACGTACGACATGTTACAAAGGCTGAGTTCACCTGTGTCCCTCATTTTATTCAACAGCAATCATGCTGCACCTGTGACACATCCTGTGTCCCTTGTCTGAGGAGGCTGGCCCTGAATGTCACACTGCACCATGACTGGCATCCTGTGTCTGGGAGGCCATGTGGAACATGCTAGAACAAGTCTAGAGCCACAGCCTGGGGCCTCTGCAGCACCAAGTGGTGGCATGGAACATTCTAGAACAGGCCTGGAACCCCTGCCTACATCCTCCACAGAGCCAAGTGGTGACAAGGAACATGACAGAACATTCTAGAACCACTGCCTATGGCCTCCACACAGCCAAGTGGAGACACACAACATTCTAGAACAGCCTGAACCACTGCCTCAAGTCCCTACAGTGCAAACAAAAGTAAGATCTCATCTCAATGAAGGAGACCAGGAGCCCCATGTGGTTCTGAACTGGCCTCTCCCACGTCGGGGACATGACTGGGACACTGGGCTGAACTCCACGGATGTAAGGGCGGATGGCAGTAACGTCCTGGTGGTTGTCCTGTGGCAAACACACTGGCTTGTGGAAAGTACACTCGAATGTTTTGAGGCTGACAGGCTCTGGGTCCCCGACTTACTCAGAACAGTTCTGGAAAGCAAGCTTTTAGCTCTGCACCTGCCCCAGAACGTCCCACCGGCCAGGAAGAGGCACGCTTGCCCGCAGCCCTCTGCCTGGCCACCAACCTACCTTGCCACCAGGCAGGAAGCGGTTGATCCTGTCTCGGGCCTCATCGGCCGCGTGCTCCACCAGCGCCAGGACATGCTCCTCCGCAGTGCTGTCCGTCAGGCTGCAGGCATTCCCCTCCGGCTCAAACACACAGCTGCAGGCAAGGCCACGGTCATGTCGGCCCACTCCACTCACCAGGGTGCAACCGGCCCCCTCACGCCGCTCAACTGCCCTGCCAGCCTCTACCACTGCCTTGGCCACCTCTGCCTGAAGACCCCAAGCGAGTGCCAGTACAGTGTGTCCTTCTAACCTGTCCTCTTTGAGGCTTCCTCTTAATTGGCAACAATGAACAATACATTAGGAAGAGCATGGCAGGCCAGGAAGCGGCCCACGCTTCCCTGCCTCAGTGAAAACCTTGAGGTCAAATTCAGAACCCCAAGAGGAACAAGATAAGAACCTCGTCAGTGACAGTGTCGTCAAAGGAGTGACAGGACCACTGCGATGGAGGTCCCATGCCAGGTGGGAGCGTGTCCATGGGCTGTCTGCACGGGGGCAACTAGCAGGCATGTGGGTGGGAAGCAGTGTTCTCATGGGACCCAGGCAGCCCCCCCCTCCAGAGAATGAAGCTGGTGGGCTGTCCCTCTGAGGAGTGGGAACACAGGCCTGCTGGGGAGGGACCTTCCTCTCCAAGTCCGAAGGCTGAGGGGCCACAGCCCTTGGAACAGTCTGTATAGGGGCTCACCACCCGTGTCGCGGGCACGTTGACATGCTCGTCGCTAACACTACTCTCTGTCCAGCTCCAGGAAGCCATGGCTCACCGGGCCCGGCTCTGCGCCCTGCCCCCGGTCAGCTCGCTCTGCACCAGGACAGTGGAGGACACAGCCCCGACTCCGAGGGAGCCAAAGGCACCCTGAGTCGCGCTGGAACACACCAGCACTTCACCCCAGCAGTGCTGCAGGTCAGGCTGCGGCTGCAGATGCCAGGAGCTCAGATAAAGCACCAACCTCGCTGTTTCCCCAGCTGCTCCCACAAACAGCTCGGGCCAGTGTCCCTCCTCTGTGGCACGAGTCGCTAGGCGGGTGCTACCCACGCAGGAGAACGCGTGGGAGCTCCCTTGCCAGACCCACAGAGGGAACGGCCAGCTGCTCCCCAGACCACACGACCTGCTGGGCCTGGGGTCAGCTGGTCACTTGCCAAGGGGGAAGCACACCAGTGTGGGCAGGACCAAGCCCTTCCAGGCCCCTGTGCAGGGTACCCTGCCACTTTTCCCAGATGATGCCCAACTCAGGGCCAGGATAGGGGACCAAGGTGGAGACTGGAACATCTTTGCTTCTGGCTACATGGGTTGCAGACTTAGCCCATACTACCATGGGTGGGGCACAAGGCTCACTGCTCTCACAGGGGGTTTCTTGGGGAATAGCTCACAGAGCAGCAGCAGACAGCGGGCACCCAGCAGGTGGCTCTGCAAGAGACCACCTCAACCTTCCAGACCCAACTGCAAAAGGCCACCATGGTGGAGACACAGGTAGTGTGATGGCCTGTGAGGAAGGTGCTCAGCTCTCTGAGGCCAAGGGTGAACAAGAGGCAACCCACTGTGGGAGGACAGGATGGGGGTACAGCAGAGGTCAGCCCACTCACTGCAGGACGGGATGGGGGGATACAGCAGGCGAGGGGCTTCCCACTGCAGGAGGACGGGGTGGGGGGTCACAGCAGGCAAGGCGCTGCCCACTGCGGGAGGACGGGGTGGGGGGTACAGCAGAGATCAGCCCACTGCAGGAGGTTAGGGGCTATGGCCCCCTCAGACAGCCAGCTCACCAAATAACTCCAGCCAAACCCAGCCCAGCTCCCCATGTGAGCTCTGAGGCCTGGGCCCAGTCCCAACCAGACTCCTAGCTGCCGTAACTGCCTGTCACACACAGCACTCATCCACGCTGAGGCCGCGGCTTGTCTGGTGTTGTGCAGTGTTGGTGAGGGATACGTGCCGGCAGACCTTTACCTAAGTGCTTCTTTACCGGGCTTTTTGGATTTCTTGGCCGCTTCTACTTGCACAGGTGCGAGCTCTGGGGCCGGCTCCTCAACGGCCGTGTCCTCACTGCCCAGGAGGGCTGCCTGCTGGGAAAAGTCCATGTCCTGCATGAAGGACACGCTACGCTTCAACGCCGACAGCCGCTCCTGCAACCAGAGGGGACGGGCATGCGGCCTTTATGCTCCTGCGTCAGAGCCACGTGACGACAGGATGGGATGGGGTACCCTCACCTGCCTAACGCTACTGCCCACGGCAGACACAGCGGGTCGGGGCTGGCTGTGGAGGCCCAGGGTGACAGGACAGGGCAGTCCCACCCTTGCCACACACACTAATCAGACCCAAGAAAATGTCCCGCACACATGCATCCCAGCTTTCTGGAGAGATGTGCACCAGATCTCAGGATGAGCCCAGGACGGAGACCACGAGGGACCATGCGCGGGATAGACCAGGGCAAAGACCATGTGGAACCACACCTGGGATGGGTCCAGGGCGGAGACCACGAGGGACCACACCTGGATGGGCCCAAGGCGGAGACCACGAGGGGCCACACCCAGGACAGACCAGGGCAAAGACCATGTGGAACCACGCCCAGATGGGTCCAGGACAGAAGCTAGGAGGGACCGATACAGGCAGGCTGTGTCCAATGACGTGACCCGCAGGCTGAGACCGCTCTGAAAGGCCACAGCAGCTGGGTAGTGAGCAGGTACAGAGGGGTGTGCCTGCAGGTGGGGTGTGGAAAGGGCAGCAGGGAGCACCACGTGACGGCAGGACGGTGGAGGGAGGGGACATAGGCGTGCAGGGCGTGTGCCCCGCTTTCTGGGCACACATGTCCAGGAGCTCTTACTTTGCTCATCATCTTGAAGCCCGCATGGAGAATCTTCTTAGCCAGCTTGTAGTACACGGTGTCTGGTCTGTTATAGGTCATGGCGTTGTCACACATGAGCTTGAAATCCGCCTGGCAGGGGTGGCGAGAGAGAGACGGACGGGAATTTCACCAGGCAGCAGTGTTCCAGACCCCGCACGGCAGCCAGAGCGAAAGGCTCAAGACCTGGGTGATCGGACCCGGCCCCGAAGTGTGGGTCACACTCCATGATCAGACCTGGCCTGGAGGTGTCGTGACCCACTCCATGATCAGACCCAGCCCTGAGGTGTGGGTTATGCACCATGATCAGACCTAGCCCCAAGATGCACGTTGTGCTCTGAGTGGACCAGGCACCAAGGTACAGGTCGCACTCCACAATCAGACCCAGCCCCGAGGTATGGGTCACGCTTCACGATTGGACCTGGCCCTGAGGTGCACATTTTGCTCTGACTGGACCAGCCAAGGTGCAGGTCGTGCTCTGCAATCAGACCTGGCCCTGAGGTACGCATTGTGCTCTGATGGGACCAGGCACCAAGGTGTGGGTCGTTCACTGCAACTCCCCCAGGGAAACCTCCCGGCTGCTCACAGTTTCACCCATGAGACCCTTCGCCGGGAGGAACTGAAAAGGCCCGGGCCTTCCTTTCCAACAGTTCCTGAAAGGACAGATGAGGGTCTTCTCTGCTCCCCCTCCTCCCAGGCCCTCTTCATCCTTTGGAGAACTCGGGACCAACAATGGGGTTCTTATGAGCGTGCATCGAGGGGAGGCCAGCTGGCTGGGGCAGCCAGTTCCCCCAGCTCTGGGACTCTTCTGCATGGTACAGACTAGATTCCTGCCCACACCCGTAGACAACAACTCCCATAGGACAAGGACCTTACTAAGCACGCTAACGCCAGCGAGCTGAGATGCCAGCACCTGGCTGTGACACCTACACCGCTCAGCACACGCCTGTCCCAGGTGAGCCCTAACATCACAAGAGAGCATGTGTTGCAGGTACACGATGCTCTTGGCCTTGGCTGTCCCGCTGCAGGTCCTGGCAGGTCACCTTCCCAAGCTCTCTGCTGGCTGTGGGCTAGGGTTTCTGAGGAGAGGCCATTGTCTGCCGCAGGCTCAGAACACACACTCGAGGGGGACACGTGAGGGTGGGTGCTGCCCTCTTTGTGGCTGTTGCCAGGAGAGAAGCTAAACAGGGCCACAGGGAGGGACGTGAAGGACACGGGCCTAGACTACTGGGCCTCGCTGAGCCATGTATGAGGCCCCCTCCAGTGCGCTGGGCTGAGTTTGCCCAGGGCAACAGCATTCCAGCAAGCATCCACATCCAACTCAAAGTCACAGAGCAAAACCCAAAGCCACATGTCCAACCCACAGTCGGCGGGCCTCAGACAAGACCCTCAGTCTTGTCTGACCAGCACGGCTGCTCCTATCACCATGTAGTCACTGTGCTCACCAGCAAGACAGGCCAAGACCAGCTCCACACCCAAGGGTGCCTTCCAGTTCTCAGAGCACTGGGTGAGTGTGAAAAGCCATGACCCCCAAAATCACCACCCAGTCACCACAGGACAAAACCAACAATCAGGAGTAGCTCATGTCCAAGCAGCCGTTCTTGTGCCAAGGAGCTCTGGTGGTGCGTGTGCTGGTTAAGGCATTCAGCTGCTATGCTAACCCAAGGGTCAGTGGTTCAAACCCATGAGCTCTCCCACAGTAAAAAACACAAGTCAATCTGCTTCTTCAAAGATTCACAGCCTAAAAACCCAAGGGGGGTTATTATGAGTCAGAACTGACTTGATGACGGTGAGTTTGGTTTCTTTTTCTGGTTATGCTTGTCCCAGGCCATCAATGCCTGGTCCAACTTGTCCTGGTCACACCAGCAGAGATAAAAGTAAACCCACCAAGACACTTTTAACAACAGGCAAGAGTCCAGACTCCAGACCACAACCCTGAGACATGCCCAAGCATTTTCTTGGAGCTGCTCAGGAAATGTTGACACTGGCTCAAACAGGTACAACTGGTTGGCCCAAGACGGACGGAGTGTTTTGCGGGACAGACACACAGAGCCTGACCACCAGCTCAGGAGCGGGCATCACCCACCTTGAACTCCGTGACAGACTTGTACCCCTGAGCCGCGATCTTGTCCTTCATTGTGCCGAAGTCCATCGGGTGTTTAATTATCATCGAGTACCCGGGAGCAATAGCGTCCGTAACGGGAAAAGCAAAAAACCCATGCGGGTCTTTCCTGAAAAACGAAGACAGTCTTCTAACTGGAAAAATCCTAACCTTGGGATTCAAAATGATGCAGTTAAACATCTACCTGACTGACCAAACTTTAAGTCTGTCTCTTGAAAAGCGCAGACAATGAAATGCATTCCTTTTTATCATGATGGATTACGTTGTTGTTGTTGTTGTTGTTGTTGTTGTTGTTGTGTGCCGTCGAGTCAGCCCCGACTCATAGCGACCCCTCCTTGGGTTTCCGAGACAGTATCACTACGAAGTAGGATTGCCCAACCTTCCTTCCGAGGAGTGGCTGGTGGGTTTGAACCGCCAGCCTTCTGGTTAGCAGTCAAGCGCTTTAGCCACTATGCTACCAGAGCTCCCGGATTACGTAGGAGATGCTAAAATTAACACAAAACCGTGACTGGCTGCTGCCAGCCCTGACATTCACACTGACACCTGCAAGGACCGCTGGAGCCTCCTCACCAAGGACTCTGATGGACCAGGGCCCCAGGTCACTCTGCACGGTGTATCCCTCAGGGAGGCCAGAGGACAAAGTAGAAGTGGCTCTTGGCAGAAGTCGAACATGGACCTGTGTCCTTGGTCCGTCTGTCCTGAAGGGAGAGGAAGTGGCCGACCATGGACCTGTGTCCTTCAGCCCTCTGTTCTAAGAGGGGGAGAAAGGGGAGGAGCTGAGTGCCTGCCCCAGGGAAAGCCCTGGCCCCTGGGCTCCCCGCCCCCACACAGCGTGAGCTGCATCCGGAAGCTCGCTCCTCCACCAGCGGCGCGTTAATGGAGCCAAGTGAGCCAGCCGTCCTGAAACGGGGACAGAAGCCAAAGAACCTGAACAGCAGAACCTTGAGCTCCAAACCCTGTGAGTGTGAAGCAGAGACCACACGTCAACACCTTTCTGGTGGGGGCTTCTCAATCCATCTAGACCCTCGCTGGAATATCATTCCCTGCAGGCCTTCATTTCCGACCCTCGGCTGCAGAAGGATACAAGCTATCAGCCTGAAAGTAAGACTTCTGTTTGGGGCAACACGGAAGAGCTGGCTTGAAATTAACCTGTGGCTGAGACAAGCTAAAGAAGATGGCTGACAGCATCAAGCCTGGACAGGCGGGGCCTGGGGTCCCTTGTCCTATGAGTGGGACTCAAGGAGGAGCCGGGCCACCTCTTGAAGGCAAGCTGGCACCCAGCTAACCGCAGGGGAAGCAAGGCCTGTTGATAGCTGACTGCAGGGGACACAGGGACCCAGCTAACCTCAGCACACAGGGACTCACAGAAACAGCTAACCTCAGGACGTGGGGGCCAACTGACATTTGACTGCAGGGGGACACGGGGACCCACTGACGTCTGACCACTGGGGGCACAGGGAGCCACTTATACCTGACCACTGGGGGTAAGGGTGCCCACTGATGTCTGACCGCGAGGGCACGGGGGCCCGCTGACATCTGACCCCTGAGGGTGCGGAGAGCCACTTACATCTGACCACAGGTGGTGTGGGTGCCTGCTGACGTTTGACTGCAGGGGACGCAGGGACCCGCTGATGTCTGACTGCAGCGGGTGCAGAGGCCCACTGACGTCTGACCGCAGGGGGCTTGCTAGCAGAGCCACCAGCTGAGTCCTCCCACCAGCCAACAACATGATCATGAGCTATGGTCACTTGTGGCCAACAAGCAGAGAGATCACTTCCTATCTGCTCAAATCTACATCTGTCAGTGAAGCCGATTCTGAGACCTCTCAAGGCTCAAGTTTATCTGAGCGAATCTGCGTGTGTGTACCTGCTGCTAGCACAAAATGGCAGCTGCCCACCCATTTCGACTTCTTGACTGTCACTGTGAGAACATCACCACACCCACTAACAACAAAGAAAGAGATGCAACCTCGGGGCAGCCAACCTGAAGACAGCACGACCTCTGACCTCTGACGCCTGAGGTAACGCTTCTCGAGACCCAGCATCTCGCTCATACACGTGGGCTGCGGGACGCCCAGCGGCTCACTCATGCTGCACCTGAGCCACACGATGCCCACCAGCTCCCTTACTCTGCACCCGAGTTGTGCAACGCAGGTAAACCAAGATCCCACAAGAAAGTGGTAATTACTTCTATTCAACATTGTACTGGAAGTCCTAGCCAGGGCCATAAGGCAAGAAAGGGAAATCAAAGGCATCCAAATTGGTAAGGAAGAAGTCAAACTA